CTCCCTCCCAAGAGACCAGGACAAAGACCAGACAAATGTCCAGGTCAGATCTGCCTCTACTGCTGCTTTTCATGCTTTTGCAAAAGGAGCCTAGATCTGGCTCAGGGAGACTGATGTGTTTTTCTTTCTAGAACCTCTACTTGGAGCTAGTATTAAATGGACTTGGTAGATCCTGACCATCACTTTGGAGTTTTGAACATTTTCAGTTGAGTTAGGGGGAAACATTGCAGTTTGAATGAAGGATTTTGTTTCTGTGTTACTTAATGCAGTGAAACATTTTGTAATTATTTGCCCCAATTCTCCTTTTAAGTGTAATTTGTTAAAGTTCTTAGCTCCTTGGACGGACTTACAGTTCACTATGCTAATATTTACTTATGTATAGTACTGAATTGCATATTAAGTAATAAGCATGGGTATACCCTAATTATTACATTTATTAGGTAGCAAACATTGTAAAAGTCTGTTAGGACTTTTCATTTTCTTCCTAAAAATGATTTACATAGAACAGTTTAGGTGCTGAATGGAAATGGCCATCATCTGCCCTTGTCCTTGCTTACCTGCCCACGAGAGCTCTGCCTCTGCCCACTTTCCACTCCAGGGAGTTCCATTTTCTTGTTGCCACTGGCACACTACATGTGGTGAGATGAGAGCGAATTTGTATAATTAAGTATAAGTTGAGAGTAGGGACCGCACAGCAACGTCGGCAGGAAGCTGGTGGCGGTGGGCGTTGCTGATGGTTCTGGAACAGTGGAGTGAGCATCTCTGTCTCTCAAACACCCTTTGTGCTTCGGGGAGTCTCGAGTGGGTTTCTACACTCATCTTCTCTCCTCTGGCCCCTCCATCCTCATTCATCCTCTTATTGATGGTTTCCTGGTGGGCATTCTCTGCCATCTGTCTGTTTCATAACTTCCTGTCCTGTCTCCAGCTGTGGCAGAAACCCTGAAAGGTGAAAGATGACAGGAGTATTTTTAAAATTAAATTAAAAATTTAAAACATTTGCCATTCCACTTCCAGCAACTTTTTGGTTTCATCTAAACCAGTGGACTAGATGGTGCCCCGGGGACTTTCCTCTGTGGGCTCCAGGGTCTGGGTAGTGCCACCTAAAGGCACCTCCATGCTAGAAGAATCTAAAGCCTTGATAACCCCAAGGTGATCTTCAAGTGAATAGCAGTTTACCTTCCTTTGTAATCTTACTTGCTCTGTCTTACAGGGCAGGACAGATTCTCTGTGCACTCTTGAATGAGTTGGCTGGGGATTCTGCTAATGAGTAGTAGAATAATCGGGGTGGCTCATGAAAACCAGTGACCCCAGCACAGCTAAGATTGAGGAGGAGACTGGACCCAGAATCCAAAAAGCTGTTGGGGCTGTTTCTGTGTCCTTCTCGTACCTACAATATATTTATTTTGGAAGAAATCCTTCCTCTGCCCCTGGTGGGAGAAAGATGACCCTCTGCAGACCCAGAGAACATGTGGGTGCTCATAGGTCAGCCATGTGTAGCAGTGGCCTCCTTAGCGCCTATGTCAGAGTCCCTGAAGAAGACCCTTAGTGACCGGGGAGATTCAACAACCAGGCAAGGGAGAAGTCATTGGGGCAGCAGTAGTGTAGGTACCTTCAACATGCCCACCACATTGGCCTTTTATGTGTCCACTTAACATACGCTTTCCAGTGCTCATGGCATGCCAGCAAGCATTCAGGGCAGCACATAACTGTGAGCAGGTTATAATTCCTTCCCTGGTGACCTTGGCCATCAAATGTCTTGTCTGTAATTCTACTTTGTGAGGGAAAACTTAGTGCTTACTTGCCTACTCCTGTTCTCTCAGCTCTTTTGTTCACTGTGGCTTCTTTCTCAATAATAGATATTTATTGAACTCCCCCTAATTGCTGACACTGCACCTATTTATGGGGGAGCTGTAAGCATTTTGTACGGTGACATTTGCAAAAATGCATTAACGCAGGGTTTGTCTCAGGAGTCCAAACTTGAAACCTTAGTCAGAGTGTACTTTGCTCTTTATGGTGTAGTGTTTTCCTTGGGGGATACAAATTTGTGTTATTTCAGAAATATTCATGTTTTTCTTCAGTGCTGGGGTAGGTCCACTTGAAGGACTGAGCCAGAAGGAAGTTATCTAAGTCTTGGTGTTGGAGGGTTATTATCTATTTTTCCCTAAAATTTCCAGGCCTGGTTCTGTTGAAGTATATCAAGATGAATGTTGAGACATGCTAGGCACGGGGGAGATATTATTTCCCCTAGTTTTGTCATGGTTCCTTGTTTGTGTCAGTAATTTTTAACCTCAATATTAGTTATAAAACATTTAAGTTCTTGTTCAGAGAAACTACTGTTTCCATTATTTTTATGGTGATATTTTTTGTTTATTTGCTTGCTTGTTTGATTTTGTACCAAATTTTTCAAATCCTATTTATGGAATTTTCTTCCCTTTTCTAGTCTACATACTTTATCTCTCCTCTGATGACTTAATGAGTTTTCTTTTCTTCTTCTTTTTTTTTTTTTTTTTTTTTTTTTTTTTTTTTTTTTTTTTTTTGCAGTACTGGGGATCGAACTCACGACCTCACACTTGCCAGGCAGGTGCTTATGCCGCTGAGCTAAATCCCTGGCCCCTCTTAATGAGTTGTCTTCTGAGATGCTTCTTATGTCTGTGTTTTTTTCCCATTCTCCTTTTAATTTGTGCATTTATCATCTTGTTTGTAGATCATAGAATTAACTTGACTTTGGTCGTAATTGTTGTGGTCTCCTCCTTCCCTTCTCCTCCCTTCTTTCTCCTACTCTTCCTCCTCTTCTCTTTTTTCTTCTTCCCCTTCTCCTCCTCCTCTTCCTCCTTCTTTTTCTTTCTCCTCCCCCTCCTCTTTTTTCTTCTTTTTAGACCAGGTCTCTCATTGTGCAGTTTGTTTTTGCCTTGAACCCACTATGTAGCCCTGGCTGGCCTCGAACTTGGAGTAATCCTTCTGCCTCTCAGCCTCCCAAGTGCTGGGATTGCAGCACTGCTGGGTGCTCTTCTCTTCTGCTGGAAACCTTTTGTGGCTTCCAATGACCTTCAGAATGAAGTTTGTCCTCCTTCAGCTGGCATTGAACCTTCACAGACTGTTTTGCTGAGCTGCTTTTCTGTCCTTTCCCTATATGGGCCTTGAACACTGATTTTTAAAAAATTGATCCCTGGTAAAATTTTGTGTATTTGACAAAATTTGCTTAAGCTGCTTTTGCCTTTCCCCGTATTGTCCTCCTTTTTCCTAATATGACCCTTACCCATTCTTTCAGGCTTTTCTATCATCCCAGCACCCTTGTCTGCCACCTGCCTACCCTCACTGCTAAGCGGCTAATGACCTGTGAGCCTGCCTAGCCCCTTCAAGCCCACTCTTAGTCACTTGGTCACAGAGTGGTAACAGTTGTTCCCATGGTATAATTGCATCTTAAGGTAGTTAACATTTTAGAGGGCCAGAACTGGATCTGTTGTTTTTGTGGTGCCAGCATCATCTAACTAGTGCTTCTCAATTGTGGCTGCCCATTAGCATCAGCTTAAAAAATAAGAACCAGACAGTAATGGGATCTGTGAGGGCAGGGTCCTGGACTAGGCCATGGCAAGAGCTCCTAGAGCTGTGAGCCACCGAGGGACCCAGTCTGCACTATTTTGATCCATAGTAGTGTATATAGCATGGGCTCCCTGTGTGTCACTGCATCTCTGCTTGGGGAACTCAGAGAAACTCTTTATATGATTTGGGTAAAGACGATCTATTTCACCAGCAAACAGGAATGCTGCTTATGCACCAGGCATTGCTGGGGTGCTGAGATCACTGCAGTGAACCAAGAAAGTCTCTGCCATCCTGGAATTTTTGTTCTTGGTGCAGGAAAACAGACCATAAATAAGTAATGTCAGGTAATGGTGATAAATGCCATGGAGGGAAACCGGGCAGGATAAGTGGCAGAAAGAAAAGCAGTACTTTGATACAGGATGCTTGCAAAAATATGTTGTCAGCAGGAAGAAAGCTGGTGTGTACCAGGCCTGTGACCCAGGGCCCCTGCTGTGAACCCCAAGCCTGCACCCACCAGGTACCCCTTGGGTGACCCTCCCTTAGCCCACTTCTGACTGTTTACCTAATATTCAGGATAACATGGCGGCTCTTTATGACTGATTTTGTGTTTTGCTTGTCCATCTCTTTCAAAAACACGACAGTGAACAGTATTCCTTGCAGTTTGGGGTTTACTCCAGTAAGATGTACGTTTTATTTTTTTAAATGATGCTCGGCATGCATCTCTGATAGGTGCAGAAGATGGCAGGTTTTAGAGTGAATGCAGAATTAAGAAAAATAAGCCTTCATCTTTGGGGCACTTCTTTTTCTGTAGCCTCTCGACTCAGACGTCACTGCAGAGGTCAGGTCCCAAGGCCTCGGTATGCCCTAGCCATCGGGACCCTGCTTTGCGGTTGGAGCAGCTGGTGCATCTTCATGCACCAGCCGCCCCTGAAGGGAAGGTGGCGGGAGAGGACAAGCGTGGGGTGGGGCCGACGTAAGAACAGACACGGTGCGGCGCGCTGGTCCACAACTGGGCCAGCGAGGTTGCCATCCTTGAGGGACCAGGATGGCAAAGTCTCCTGCGATGTCTGCCGCAGGGCGCCTGAGAACAATCGGAGGGCGCCCAGAGCCAGAGTGCGCCGCGGGGGCGCTCGCGCATCCTTTTGTGTCCCGCGCCCGCCCCGGGCCCCGCCCCCGCCCCGCCCCTTCATCCACGTCCCTGCCCCGCCCCTTCATCCCCGCCCCGCCCCCGGCTCGGTCAAGTCCCGTCCGGTCCCAGGCCTCGGGTCGGCCACGCCCCCGCGGCGTGGTGGGCGTGGTGTGGGCCGGGGCGTGACGGGGGCGTGGCAGGGGCGTGGCCTGCGGCAGGGCGCCGTCCAGCCCGGGTGCCCAGGGCCCGCGCTGCGCCGCGCCGAGCATCCTCCCGCCCGCGCTGACTTCTGCGTGTTTTCTTTTCCGCTCCGCGTCTGTCCCCGCCGCAGGACCCGTTCGTTCTTCTGCGGGCTACAAGAAGGCGGAGGATGAGATGTCCCGGGCCACGTCTGTGGGAGACCAGCTGGAGGCGCCAGCCCGCACCATTTACCTCAACCAACCGCATCTCAACAAATTCCGCGACAACCAGATCAGGTAGGAGAGGCGGCCGCGGGCCGGAGCGCACAGCCCCTGCCTTCCACCCTCGGCATCTACGCGGTGCCCAGCCTGCTGGGCCCCCAGGAGGTTTTATTCCGATGTCCCTGCGGAAGCCTTTAATCGCCAGGGCTGCTTTCCAGGAATCCCCCTTCCTTAGCCCCATTCTAATCCTCTCTATTGTCTTAGCTTGTAGACCATAATGCGGACAAGTGCTTCCCATGGGAACCTCCCAAGGCGTCAGGACCCATGTCCAGTCCTCAGTGGCTTGTGACTGTCGCTAGAAGGTCTTTATTTGCTAGGAAACTCTGCCCATACTTAGCAGAAAAATCGAGGCGAGGCAACCCTAAAGTGTCGGCACTTCGCTGGCCGCAGCGTCCGGGTGCCTTGGCTGTACAGGCTGAGTGACGCTCGGCCGCCTCGCAGGGCAGGCGCTGAGACCTCGGGATCAAGGGAGCTGCAGGTAGTGGTACTCAACAATGGACCCATGGCACCGGGCTGCCAAGTGGCAGAGCTGGAGATCGAATCCTCCCATCTGACCAGCAAGAAATGTCAGCTGAGCAAAGCTAGTTTTTGTTTTCATTTTTTGCATGGGTGTTAGTACCATTTCAAATTCCGTCAAACTTTGGGGTTTAGATAGTTTTATACCTGGAAGTGACTTCAGAGAGTGTCGCTCTGTGAGCTGCTCAGAATACCATGCTGGAGTCTACAGGAACTCAGTGATTGATCAGGTTCCTTTGGGATTTACCCATAAACACCATTTCCAGCGCAGTGTTCTTTCTTGAACATTTTGGCTAAACTTGTATTCTACTACTGTGTTAGTGCTGGTATTGGCTGCGGGCCTTGGCATCTTTATTTAGAAAGATCTGTCCCTCGGACAGGATTATAGCGTGAGAAGATCTGAGGTAGAATATTACATGGAAGGAATGCCTTCATTGGTTAAGGGGTGTACTATCGTGGTGGCCTTATTTTGGGTTTGAAGAGTGACTGCTCAACGTATTTTGTGCTTCAGAACTTCTGGGTCCTCATCCTAGAATTGAGTGGGTTTAAGACACTGAGCATTCACAGAATGAATCGCCACTTTATAAACTAGGATGATTCTCCGCCAAAAGACATATAACAAATGTTGGCAAGGCTGTGGGGAGAGAGCCAAGCGCTCGTGCACTGCTGGTGGGAATGAAAAATGGGGCTGCTGCTTGGTAAAGCAGTTTGGCAGTTCTTTAAAGGCTGAGTGTAAAATTACCGTATAATGCAGAAATTCCACTCCTAGGTACATTTAACCAAGAATCACAAAAACATACATCCACACAAAAACTTGGACACGGATGTTCACAGCAGCATTATTTCTAAAGACCCAGAAGTGGACACAGTCAAATCATCCTTCAACTGATGAGTGGCTAAAGTTTTGTATGTCCATACAATAGAATATTATTTGGCTATGAAAAGGAATGAAATACACATGCAGCAACTTGTATGAACTTTGAAAACATTGTGTTACTGAAAGAAGCCAGTCATAAATGGTTTCATACTACGTGAGTGTATTTAAATGAAATGCCCCAAAGAGGCAAATCTATAGAGACGTAAGGCGGATTAGTGGTTCCAAGGCTGGGGAAGGAGGAAGAAATTGGGGAATTCAATATTAATGCACATGGGCTTTCGTTTTGGGGGTGATGGTTGCTCCAGTCTCTCAGCATGTGCTTAAAACCATCTGGAATCCAGCACTGCTGTTACAGTTGCCTTTCCTTGCACTTGCCCCATGCTCATATTGAAGCACTTCTAAAAAGATAAACATTATTTTAAAAAGATAAATACTGTATAAGGATACGGTGTTGAAGAGTTCCTTTTCTTTTTAAACTTCGGTGCATTTTTCAAAAGTATTTTTGCCAAGTTTCTGTTGATTCCTGTAGTTTTGGAATCCAGCTGTGCCCGCTTAAAACTGAAAAGCTGAAACAAAGTCTTGGCTTTTGTCTGTATCCCTGGTTTCCGCGGGATGTGAAGATTGGCAAGAGCTTTGGCAGTGGGGCTTCAGTACCTGTTCTGTAATCAAGACTGAGTCTTTTTTTTTATATACTGGGAATTGAACTTGGGACCTTGTGCTTGCTAAGCAGGCACTATGCCACTGAGCTATATCTCCAGCCCCCAGCCCCGCAAGATGACTTTTGAGACTGATTTTATTATCACCAGATTCTGACTGGCTACTTGTACAATTTCATTTATGCGTTTTTTTTAAAAAGGGAAATAGGAATAGTATGGGAATGTGCAATGCATTGTTAGGAATAAAGTGGGCCTTTACTAACTATTCTGTTTAAGGCCTGGTATAAATATGTAATTGAGTTCACTATAATATATCATAATAAATGCTTACATTCACATAATTTCTGACTTCATGGTTTATACTGTTAGTCTGAGTTTCTGAATGTACTGGATGGGGGTGGTAAGAAATTAAAATGTAGCCTTTGAGGTTCTGCTGAGTATTTGATTCACTTTGCATGTGTGTTTAAGTAGGAATCACTAATGGTTAAAGAGTACCCTTTAGTTCATTAGGAAACAATTACAAAGCCTCTTAAGCATTAGAGTTTAAGGGTTTTACAGAACATTGAGCCACAGTAGTTAGCAGTTTAATGATGCCGAAGTTAAGTTTATATGAAATATTGATTTTTTTAAAAAGTAAGACTTTTTATTTTGGCCATGAATGTTTGCTAAAATTTGATAAAGCTATTAAAACAGAGTATTTTCATAAAAGGGAATTTGTGAAGGTTTTATTTTTTTACTGTAATTTTTCATGAGAAAAGTTTCATTTTTTTCTTTTTTGGCAGGCAGGGTTTATCTAAGTGTATATATGTATGTTTGCAAATGTATGTATATATATATATATATTTTTTTTTCTTTTTTCCCTTTGGATTTTGTTTTATGGTGTTGTGACTTGAACCCAGGACCTCATGTATCCTAAGTTTGTGCTCTGACACTCAGCTGTACCTCACCCTATGCTTGCTTGTAAATTAAAGATTTTGGAAAGAAGGGACTGGGTAGGGCAGTTGAGGCTCACACGAGCCTGTTAAACTCAGAGCGTCTGATTTGTTTAGATGTGTACATTTCAGGAGCTTAGGAATTCTCAGTTCTCCCGCTCACGCCTCCCACCCAAAGCCCTTTCCAGCTTGGCTCCTTACCTCGCGGCGGGTGCCCTGTGCTTGTGTTTTGGTTTCAGGACAGGGCCGTGGATGGGAGTTCAGTGCTGAGGGAGGAAGGTTATTGGTGGGCACTGCGAGGAGGAAGAGTGGACAACAGGCCAAGATTTCGGGGTCCGAAGTCAACACAGGGACTGGTGTCACTTCAGGAAGAGGATCGGCCTCGAGAAGGACCTGGAGAGGGAAGTGAGCAGGTGGCCCCAGGGACTGACCCAGCTTGGTGCCCCCTTGGTGTTATATGGAAGCTCCAGATTCTGGGCAGTGTCTTAAATTCTGGGAGGGCTTATGCCGTGTGGGTGTATGTCTTCTCAAACCTTGGTCTTACTTTTGGTATTGGAAGTAATACCAGTGTCCTATCTGAATCCTTATGGTATATTTGCTGAAGTTTTCCATTATGGAGGACAGTGAATTTCATTGTTATAGTGGGGGAAAATTACAAAATGTTTTACTCTTAGGCAGTGATTCTTTGGGGTCCTAACTCTGAGGACAGTAAGTTTCTTCATCTTTTAGAAATGAATAGTATATAATGGGATATTCCAGTGTTCATATGCATATGTGGGGTTATATGTGTGTCCACCTAACAAGATCCCATTTTCTGAAGTGTGGTCTTATCTCCTTTTAAATGCTTAAGTGCATAATTGAGCCATCTGAAGTTATAGTTCAGTGGCTTATAGTATATCCAGAGTTGTGCACGCATCCTCAGAGTCAGTTTGGGAATATTTTTGTCATGTTGGGAAGAAACCCCACACTTGTAAATGTTCCTAACCTTGCTTCCCCTTAGATCTAAGCAGCAGCTAATGTACTACTCATCTCTATTCATGACATTTCAGATGCACAGCATCACACTTTTATGTGTTTTTAGCTAAATATTAACTGCTAACACCAAATTTGCTATTTAGAAGAACCTGGTGGTGAATCTTTAATTTTGTATACCTAAATTTTGAAAAATATTTAAAGTTAAAGTACTTGAATTGATTTACTGATCAAAGGAATTATCCATGTTTATGTCATCATGATCAGGCATATGTAATCTTTCTATGAGATTATCAGCATGGCATTTGAACTAGTGAATTTCAAAGCTGTAAGGGTTTTCTTTCATGTTTGAAATGAGATCTTTGAAGCATGTTAGAAATGTTTATAGATACTCTGTTCTGAATGAGTCATTCAGTTCAGGTGGGCATTTTAGTTAGCAAAAATCATCATTAAAGCTTGAGCTCTGCCCAGTTGTTGCATTTCATCAGGTTGGTTTGTCTCAGAGGAAAATTGATTTGTATAAATATTTTTGTTGGCTTTTCCAGCGGTAAGTTTAAAATACGGTATTACTTTGCAGGCAAGGAAATGGAGTCCTTCATGACAGGTTTGTACAGAATGATTGTTTTATATAGGTTAAACATCCCTAATCTGAAAATCCAAAACATGAAATGCTCCCAAATCCATGTCTTTGAGTTCTAGCTTGACACTGACACTACAAGTGGAAAATTCCACACCTGTTCTTATTTAGTGAGTCACAAATATAGATGCCGCAAAAATACTGTATGAAGTTGCCTTCATGCCAAGTTATGTATGAAGCAAATAAGTTATATGTTTAAATTTGAGTTTTATCTCTAGGATCTCCTATGGCACGTATGCAGACATTTCAAAGTGTTAAAATAAAAGGAAAAATAAATTAAATCTGAAATATTTCTTGTCCCAAACATTTTGGATAAAGGATACTCACTTGTCGTATTAGGCTGTGGTTCTAATATCTGAGGAATGAAGAAAACAAAATAATCCCCATATCCAGTTTGTTAATGGCTCGTGGAGGTGGATGATACA